TTCTGTCACGTTTAGCTGTGTATTTACTTTTTCGCACGTGAAGGTCAGAACCAGATTACCATAAGATCAGAGAGAGCACGTGTTTGCAGTTTTACTTTTTGTTATGTCTGTTTTGCACTTACGATTTTATCGGCTTACTATGTCATATAAGCATGAAACGTAACCTGTTTTAACGAAAAAGATAAAGTCTGATTTCTTACATGGAAGAAAAGCACTTAAACGTGATAAACATTGCGCGTTATTCCAGTCATCCCCCAAAATAAACCACATGCTCATCACGAGACTCATTTCCATACAATGAAAGTCGTCACGATTCTTATCCCCAGTTTCCACGGTCTTCGCTAGGAACGCGTGGCCTACAAACTAGGCCCCACCGAAAAAAAAAAAAATGACTGCATTTTAAGAGTCTCGCTTTCTTCAAGCAAGCGAGACTAACAAGTTTACTGTTCATCCTGATAAATCCAAATTTACCATCTTCCATCCACGACGTAAACAGATCAATCCTTCAGAATTAAACAACTTAATAAATAACACCCCTATAGCGCGGGTACAGGAACATAAATTTCTTGGAATAATTATTCACGAAAACCTTTCATGGAAACCGCACATCACTTCCACCTGCGATAAAGTCGCTAAGGTTATAGGAATTTTGTCTAAATCGAGACGATACTTACCTTCGGTCACTCTAAAAACCTTATATAATTTCCTCTTTCTACCTTATATCAACTATTATAACCTCCTCTGGGCGTCTACATATGCCTCCTACCTTGAACCCCTCTATCTACTCTAAAAGAAAGCCATTCGAATTATCACCTTTTCTCCTCCACGAACTCGTTCTAAGCCTCTTTTCTCGAAGCTTAATATTCTTTCTCTCCACTCACTTTATCATTTTCACGTTTCTTGTTTTGTATTCTCACACTGTAATCGCCTTTTACCTGCCTCTTTTTCCTCGCTCCTCCACTTTAATCGTGATTTTCATGATTATCTAACTCGTTTTCGTTTCAACTTGTATTAAGTATCCCTCAGGTATCAATTTGCGATTAGTTCTCAAGCCCTGACTATTTGGAACGATATCCCCTTGACTGTCCGTGACAGCCTTACCACTACTAACTTTAAAAAGAAACTAAAACTTCACTTTTTAAGCCTGAATTGAACTAGTGCAGGATTCTCATTGTTTATTGTTAGTTTATTTGTCACTAGTTATGGACTGTTATAGGACCGCATGCATGTAAACTTATCTAATTTCAGTTTTGTATCTTGTTTTGGTTTTGTAGTTTAGCCTACAGTCTTCATTTCGGATCTTGTTTACTGTGGGTAATGTCGACCGAGATATAGCGGTCGACACTCGGTCGATAGTCGGTCGACACTCGGTCGACAGTCGGTCGATACTCGGTCGACACTCGGTCGATACTCGATCGACGCTCGGTCGACAGTCGGTCGATATAGCCGTCGATAGTCGGTCGATAGTCGGTCGATAGTGGGTCGACACTCGGTCGAGACACGGTCGATAGTCGTTCCAGATGTGTCTCGGCCGATATAGCTTTTCGTTCACCGACACTTCGCCGACATTACACCGACATTTCGCCGACACTTCGCCGATAGTTGGTCGATAGTTGGTCGATACTTGACCGATGTATCGGTCAGCAATTGGTCGACACTCCGTCGATGGTCGGTCGACACTTAGCATTTCCTACATTTTTTAGCTTGGAAAACAAGGAATTAGAAAGCATTTTCTAGCTTGGACCTAACTGTTTTTTTATATTGTGTTTCTGCTTTTTTAATTTCAAACTTCAATGTACTTAGCCAAAATTCCGGATTAATAGCTATTAGTCATTTATCTAGCCTTTTCTTTTAATTCATGTGAAGGGGATTTCGCCTATCTGTATCGATGCCCACCACCTTTTCGCAGACGTTTCCTCCCCTCGTTTTTTTTTCAGGGGTGGGAGTCTCGCTACGCGTAGCCGGCTAGAATTGAATAATGAAGAAGTCCGCTAAGTGAGAATGATAGGCCTTCAGCTTCTTGTTATGTGATTTATTCCCACCGTGTAAGGCCTATATCTGGCTGATTTTTCCTATGCCGAGAATTTTTCAACCGACTCAGAACTACATTGATGAAAAAATGTATTTACAGTTCATTTTTTTAAACTTGTTTTTCCTTAACAAGTTAAGATAATATTAATGTTAACGCGGCGCATACTGTTTTCCTTTTCGTGGATGACCAAAAGTGACTTACCATTCAATATTAATTTCTGTATACGCATGGTCGTCTCTATTTTGAACAAAATATAAATATAAAGCGAAAGGACAGAGCAAAAGGACAGGATAATGTAATGAGAACGTAGCGTATCCCACAATAAATGAATGTGTTCAGTCTGCTGGATATTTTTGTCACCTTCCTCGGCACATTATCAGCGCGTTTTATCAATAACTGATCGTTAAACAAAGGACTGTTCCCGTCTTCAATACAGAAATATATAAGTTTAATTTGTGGTCTCTGCACAAGCGAGAACTTGGCGTGATGAAGCAGGTCAAAGCCCGATAATAAAAGATGTGTATTCCTCGCTCTTAAAGCATGTCATGAACAGTAATTAATGACGTCTTTGCTTAAAAAAAAAGCCATTGGACTCACCTGATAAATTAACACACGACTGATATTCGAACGACAGTTAACCGATATACCACCGACAGTTGACCGATATACCACCGACAGTTCACCGATATACCACCGACAGTTGACTGATATACCACCGACAGTTGACCGATATATCACCGACATATGACCGATAGCAAGTCGAGGTGCGTCGTCGAAATATCGACCGATACTCGGTCGATAGTCTATCTCACTATCGACCGACTATCGACCGACTATCGACCGACCATCGACCGACTATCGACCGACCATCGACCGACTATCGACCGACTATCGACCGACTGTCGACCGACTATCGACCGACTGTCGACCGCTATATCGACCGCTATGTCGACCGATATCTCGGTCGACATTACCCACAGAAAACAAGATCCAAGCATTTCTATATAAAATAATTTCTGTCATTCTGACCATAGGCCGTATAAGCCCCCGGCTTTGGCTTCACTGAGTTTGTACTGTATGAGCGATGGAATAATACAGTTAAGTTAAGTTAAAGTTAAAAAAAAAAAAACCTATCAGTGCCCTCTCTACCATACCCAAGATTTAAGAAAAAGTTTTGATTAACTTCCCTTTTATTTGTACAATACCACGCCTGAACTTATTACACGTACTATACATTGACAGTTTAACTCCCGAGAAGAATAAACTGACAGTTAAATAACAATGTACTCATACCCTGTCTTATAACCGGATAATCTTTTGCTAGGATGTATTAGATTTGACTGTCTAGGTCTCTTCCCTCCACAGGTTCCTAGACTCAGTAAAAGAGGCGCTCTGAATATTCTAAATCGTTTAAATCTAAGAGTATCGGAAAGTTTGTTAAGTGAGATCAGAAGCGCTAGTGAAGTTCTCTAAACAACTATTGCTGTTGACATTTTCACAACCCGCCTGGAAGTCATTTCCGAGTAAGCATAACCATGTATCATCATTGAAGAGGGTATAAATGTCTTTAAGTGTTGTAATCAATCACACGCCAATCAGAAGCAGGGAACTCAAACGCTTCTGCAACTAGCTCGGTAAGAATAAGTGCCCAAGAACTCTTCAATTTTCTTCTTCTAAACAACTGGCCTGTGAACAATCCATCTCCATCACAGGGCCGTAGCTAGCATGAGGCAAGACGAGGCAGTTGCTCGTCTTCCTTTTGGCCTTTTTTTGTGAAGAAACGTTTAATTTATTGAGAACATAATCCCTAGAAAAAATTAGATTGGTTGCGATAAACCCAGCTAATATAAGGTGGATGAACTGAGGGGAAAAGCATTTTAATGAGGTTAATTTGTTTCATTTGAACTGTGAGTACAGCGGTATTTCAAATGCTTGAAAATGCAGATGGTCATTAACTTGGCACCAGCATCGCTAAGCAATAAAAAAGTGAACTTCTACACTTACCCAAGATTGACTTCTCTGCAGAAAAATGCCACGGAAAATGCTTACAACAGCATTTCTGAGCCCCTAGATTTCAAAATTTTCTGGCGGGGGTGGGGGGGGGGGAAGGCATGCCCCTAGACCCCCCCCTAGCGGCTTGCGCCTTCAGCGCTCAAAACTTGCGGAAATCCACACTGGTAGATTGGATATCAGTCAATGCCAACAATGACAGCTGTTGCCAGAACAACACTGAACTGCATGATCACACTTAAACATACTCTTGCTTAGAAAAAGTTTTTATCTTCAGTACTAAATACTTTTTACAAATGGGAATTAGACCATTGAGAAAAAGAGACACGAGGTTTAAGCAACTGGTTTAACAAGAGTGGCCCGTAAGGCCTCTATTGTCAACTTATAACCCGGTCGCTCCTTAAGGTCTTCCTTTTTTATGCTTTTTTCCTCCTCTTTGTCACTATCATCAGAATCCTGGTGAACAAAAAACAGCTTAATGAGTTAAAAATGACGAGCTAACAATCTAACACAAACAAGGTTTCCAAAGAAGTAAAGGTTGGCAACCATTACTTTTATATACATGTAACAGTAGTTTTCAATATCTTCCACACAGGTGGCTAAGAATCTGATAGCCAGATTAACTGGTTGGCAAAACTTCTTTTTGTGCTATTGAGTGACGCTGGTTCTGTCTACTGAACAGTAATTTTACACAAATGAATTTCCCAAAATAGCAAGAAATATTGCTTGTATTTTGCAGTGTAACTGTGGTTGACCCTAGGCAAATCTTCAAGTATACATTTGGTACCTGTAAAAAATCGAAGTTAGAGAAAACAAGACTACACCACTAGATCAAAGCCCACATGGTTTGGAAACAAAGAGACAGCAGTCAGTTTTAAGAGCCGAGGGAATTATTGAACATTATCAACCTACCATCTCTTACCTGAAAGTTATACTTTTCTTTAAGATTTCTGAATTTTCTTGTTCCCAGGATTTTTTTCAACTTCTCCTGCAGACAACGAAAAAAGACAAACAAACTCTTTAAGTATAAAACCCATAACAATCATATCCCACAGAATTACACGAAAAGGAGGAGATATTTTAGTTAGTCATTGTCTACTCTTGGCTAGGTTTTATATCTCTAGTTGCAAATACATTAGTTCAAAACCATCTATAGCCCATAAAAATAGGCACTGGATTCAGTCCATTCCCCTCTCCACCCTGGTGTTTTTTTTCTCTTTTGTTTTTATGGAGTGATTGATGGGTAATAAACCAATCATTTGCCATCCAGTGGTAATATTCTAAATATTTCATGTACACGTATAATTTTGATTTGTAATTGGCAAGTTGACCCCTCTGGCTGTATGCCTAATTGTTTGCGGTAGTTTGTTTACGCATGGCTCGAGTATTTGCACATTTGTATTTTTCGAAAATTATGGTTCGGTCTTTTATAACAAGGCTGTCCTCTAAGGAAAATTGAAGGGAACCCAGTGCTCTGAAACTGTAAAATCTAGGGTGCCCAGCATATGATTTGTATGAAAAAGCTGAGATTTTCTAGTCGCCCGAGGGCAAAAGTTAGGCACCAGGGGCCACCGGGCTCTGCTAGAGCACAGCCCTGTATAAGCAGGGAATTTATCCAAGCTTGGCTGCTGTTTGGTTATCACAATGTAAATAAACACTGCTTGGTTTCTGAAAAGACATTTTGGAAGTCCAGCATTTCCATGTTTTATTTAACTTTCCCATGCATGATGAGGAACTCTTCAGATCGCTCTTCATTAAGTCCTCAAGGGAGTTTCACTACATTTTCTACTGCCATTCTCGACCAGACTGACTGATCTGAAAGGGAACCATCAATAAAAATGACAGTACAGTGTTGTTGGTGTTTTTTTGTCTGTCGTTATTACTCAACAACGTTTTTGTTCCACATGTCACAATTTACTTATCAGTGCAATATTATTATTGCACGGTGAAGAAATTTTGTTAAAATCCATTATTTTTGCCTCTTTCCACTGCTTTTTCTTCCTCAATTGGCATTATTTTTAATATACCCTGGCTGCCCATTAACTCATCTAAAAGAAAAAGTTTGTTGAAAGTGCACATATGGTTTATTTTAGGAGCTCGCATACACTTATTTTCTACCAAAAAGTCCCAGGGAATTAAAGGGTTGTCACCCATTAGAGTACCAGGAGTGAATGGGTTAAAGGGAACTTTATAATTGAAAAACAAATTCCAATTATTAAGGAACAGCGAAAAGCTTTGAAGAAAAGTGGAAAAAAATTATTCAGAAAAGGCATTTATTTGAGTGAACTCTCCTTTTCCTCAATGCTTTTTTTCAAAAAAGTTACTATGAACAGATTCCAAAAGAAAAAAATTATTCTACACAATATCCTGTCTAGCAGCCTTACTATCATTTCGTTAATTAATTTTGTTTCCTTTGTACAGCGTGCAAAGAAAGTCGTGTCCGATAGCCTGGGGCTAGTGGATTTTGCTATTGGGCTAGTGGTTTTTGTTCTTAACTTGCCCGATGGGAAAGTGCTGTTTTTTGGGGAAATTCAAATTACAGAAGGACTGTAATCAATCCTGCTAATCAAAAAGGGTTTTGGGGCTAGTTGAAATGACTTGTGGGCTAGTACATGCTAGCTACAGCTTGCCCGAATGGCTGCAGGCTCTAAAACTGACTTTATTTGCACCCTGTTTGTATTAAGTGTGATTCTTCTGTATTTAAGTATCTATGTTTGTGTAATGTGTGTAAGAAGCAAATAAATGAAATTAAACAAAAAAATTGTTTCAGAGCTATCTGACTAAGACAGACCAATGAATCCGACTTCAGTAGCCTACTTTGACCAGGTGGCTTTATTTTCTGATTTTAACCATTTAGTTGAGTTATGCACCAGTCAATTGCATCCTCGAGCTCCAAACCCCCACAGATAGTGGGGCAAAAACGTTGACTTTACATTCATTTCTTGCCATAGCCCCTGGGAAATAACCAAAAATTTACGGCTACACACATCTATCCCTGGGGTGTGCAGTCAGTTGACTATGATCAGAGTTTTAAAGGCAATTCAACCACTCCCTCGTGAAAAATTAAACATTTGGGTAGGATAAATTTATTTTATTCAAAACTACAGCATTCTGAATTGTAGCATAATAATCATGGCTAAACTTGGTGAAAAGATGTGGATCACCGAGATCCATCCTGCTGTAACTGACCCAGCCGTACCGAGCTCCTCAATAGTTTGCCCCATCATCCTTTGCTGACTGCTGCCCAGCCTTCTCTGGGCTATGCTTTTTATGATATGGCTGTTCTGGTCCTAACATTAATAACTGATGCAACTAATTTAAACAAAATACAAATGCACAGACCCATGAATACAATGTTTCTAGATTTACCTGTTTCTCTATTGTTATTATGTGTCCAAAAAATGCATATGAAGCTGGCAAAATCAACAAATTTTAAAATACTATGCATAAAGCTAACTTTTTGGCGACAGAACCTATGATTTGTAGACCATTACATGAATCTTTGTCATATGCTGATGAAAGTTTTTAAAATGTGTCACGTCATGTATAAGACTTTTTTGTATGGAGGAGAGATACAATGCATGACTCAATTCAAATATTTGACCAGTTAAAGTGAGTCATTTGTTAAACTTGAATAGCCGTTCTTTGAAAGACAGCTTATCAGGGAGGCTACAAAGCAAAGGATTCCACTAAAAGATTTTTGGGGCATACCTGTGCTTAAATTTCTCCAGAGGCTTGCTTTAGCTTTTCCATGTATTTTTCTGTAATTTTTCCCGGGACTTTCTTACAGACAAATCTATAGAAAATTTCTTCTAGCGCATGTGACGCCCTCAATTTTTTTCAGTAGAATCCTTAGGAGTGAAGCTTTAGTTTACAAATCATATTTTTTTTCAGAACAGCCATTAGTTCTACGGATATTATTCGACATTTGATTCTCATTTCTCACGCGTTTACATACTCGTCAAGATGGCGTCGAAAACCGTGACAAGGTCTATTCCAGTTCCGTTTTAAATAAATAACTCCATTTTGACTTTTGCGAATCTTTTTCCTGTCCTCTGCTTTTCTCAAAGCATGTTGATGTCCACAGAAATAAATAGAAATCGATTACATGTCCTGAGATCATTGTGATCATCGATTTTTATCGACATATCAAACTAATCAATCGACAGTTACTGACAAATATCGAGCACTACCGACTTATCGACTAGCTTTCCGATGATCGATTTTCGATCGACATGTGACGTCCCGAAACGCCTGAACGTCTTCAATAAATGTGAACCTACAATTTATTCCCAGCTATTTCAAGCGTTCCCTCGTTGGCTTCATTTCTATACCGACCCGCAAATCAAATGATAAAATTTCCACCAGTGGCAGAGACTCCCTATGAGCTAGACTTCACAACAGCTAACCTGAGAATCTGAGAATACGCGTTCTGAAGATTCTGTCCGCCATTTTCCACTTGTAGCGTCCTCGCTGTCTTGCTTTTCTTGCGAGACCTGTAAGCGTCCACAAACCGAGATTAAACTATCACTTTATCATTTTTCAAAGAAATTTTCCTTGTATGTATTACAGAACAAGGAAATCCAAAAAGAACCAAAAGTAAGCTTAAAGCACTGTGCTAGAATTTAACCTCACCTGGGCGGAATGATTTACTTGATTCGACACGGCATCGTTGTGCCAAGATTTGTGTCTTTTTCGAAACTGTTTCATCCCTAACCTTTCTGGTTTGCCAGCACAAAACTTAACATCCGGTCAGTGTTTCTCAATTTGTTTCTCAATGATCACATGGTTATTCGGCACCAGACTGCTCTCAACCACTTTCTGAACACGCTTTCAAGATGGCTGCCTCCGCGCCTTTGTTGCCGAGAAGAATATAACAACAATGAGCACTGTCAGGTTAGTTAACATAGAAATAGAACTAAAAGTCGATCCTGAAAACGTAACTTGAAATCGTCTTCTTTACTTTTATTTTAGTTGTTGTGTTCAAGACAACCTTGGCACAAGGCTTGTGTAGTAATTGTCACTAGGCGATGGCCTGGAGCCGGATTTTTTAAATTTAGCATTGATCACTGTCAAGTAGCTTTGGTCAAGGCCAAAAAGGAGGTATCTGGGAACCTTGACATAAGAACTTGTTTAATTTATTATTGATGTTAACATATTATGCCCAACTGCTTTTCCTGTTAACACCACATCACCTGCAGTTTCCTGGCATTCAGTTGAAACGGTGGTCTTTTAAGACCACCGTACAGGCATGTGGACTTAAAAGTCCACATGCCTGTAGATAGCTTGACAGGTTAACTCAGATTAGGCCACTGTACAATAACTTTTTTGACGTATTACTTGCATTGTACGAGCAGTGGTTCAGTTGCTTTTCTTTGTTTTCGATTGTTTTGAAACTCGTTCCTTGAAAGTTTTGAGAATCGAGAATCTTGAGGATCGAGACGCGAGTGACTGTTAACCTGAACATACTTTTGAGTGGTTCTGTGGGCCCTTATGAAATGGGGGCACGTAACGACGGTTTCCTCCTAAATGCAATGAAAACACTTTTTAGGCTATCCAGAGTACTTTTAGGTCTTTAGAAATAAATGCATTCTAAGAGGTGCTATGAAATTCATATCTGTCCAGTCATCCTAGGGCAGCTTGAGTCTTTTTAAAATTACCAGCCTTAGGGTTTTATGTATCATTTTCAAGAAAATTTTAGATCCAGATTTGACATCCAGATAAGAGACAGGTGTCGGGTCAATGACCCAACAAAGAAGGCTTCCTGGCCTGACAGATGACATATAAGTATTAAGTTAAATCTAACAAAAAAATAAGCATGTGTGGTCTTGATGACTCCTCAGATGGTCTACATGACCCCCCGTTTGAAAGGATTAACTGGAATGCTGTATAATACATTACATGCTATAAAGCACTTTTAACGCGCAACAAACAGTGACAAAAAGTGCATGTGCCGATTAGAAGTCGCTACACAATCTGACTGCCTTTAAGAACTATTGTTTAGCAAGCACGAGGTTTTTGTACAGACTATTCATTGCCAGTAAGCTCATGTCCCTGCAGCTGACTATATTTTAAAGCTTGCTCTGTAATTTAGTAATATTAGTTTCCGCACAATTATGCAATAATAGTTTAAGGTTGAATTTTTATTTCTTCTTGCTTAGACAAAGGCCAAGATAAGCCAGACACCATTGGCCCTGATCCGGGGACTATCTCCCCACACTCTCATGCCCTTGTTTGTTTGTTTGTCTTTTTTTTCCTGTGCTGCTCATGCATGGCTTCTTGTTTCACTTTTGCAAGACCACATTAGCCATGTGCATGGCTCTCCAGTATAAAGAGAGGTCATATTATTGTACTATTATTCACTTGCCTGTACTTGAAGCTCATGTCCAGCAACAATTTTTTGTACATTTCTTCAAGCCTCACTTTGCAACAGAACAAAGTAAGACATTCATGTCACTTTCATGGATGTTAGCTGATTTATTTTTATCTTTTTGCCTCTGCAGACTGTAATGCCTTATAGCATGGAAATTACAAGCAGAAATCGTGGGATTTTTTACTTTTCATGAATGGAGCAAAGGGATGGTTATGGTTGTGGTGGAATTGGCAGCTGTAACCACTTGTCTTTACAGACAACCTCACGCAGCCCTATTGGAAGCTGTAGTCTGCTAGTCGCCGGCGTAAGTAAAACTGCCTGACATTAGCAATTCCTGCTTCCTGACATGCAGCCAGTCAGTTGTATTGAAACATCATGGTCCTTTTTTAATGTATACAGTGTTCCAAGCTCACATTTAACTGATTCTTCATAGCCAATAACGTCATAGTGTAACTGACAGAAGCCCAATATAATTGTCTTTTAATTGACCGATCAGGTTAATGACCAGAATTTTTATTAAAATACCATGAAGTGACAGGCTAATGTGAAGATGACTACCACATAGATTGTCAAAACTTTAGTCACTGTCAACAACAGTCCTATTTCAGGACTAACCTCGCCTAGATGAATTCTGTGTTGTTACCATTCAAATGAAATCTCTCTTACAGAACTATTGTGCACTAGTATTTACTTCTTGGGATTTTACAAAGGAAATTTGAATGTTTTCTTTTTTGATTATTGTTTTACCGGTACATGTACATTCAAGAGTGAAATGGTGAATCAGCTTTCTTTCTTTTTCTTTTCTTTCAGGGCCAGTCCTCATGGATGAATTAGTGGAGTGGTATCAACTAAAACACCCTCCTCAATCGTCCTCTGCTTGGAAAAAATTGCTTTGTCAAAGGAATGTAACAGAATGGTTAAATATCAAAATGGCAAAGTTTAGAAGCTATTAACCAAGATAAGGGCATCGCTTAGTGTTCTTTGTCATCTGACTTCATTGCTTTGAAGCTGAAGGTGGGCAAATAGCAGTTGGAATGACTGTGTTGGGAAAAATCATGTTTGCAGGATAGAGAATCTGCATGTAATGACTGTTTTAACGCTTTTCAAACAGTGATGGGACAAAAGTGCTGTTGAAATAGAATTAGAAATTAATTCAAATTATAATTAGAAACTAATTAGAATTAGAAACAGTTCTAATGCAAAGACCCTGAATTTGTTCAAATTATATGCTTTGATATTGCTTTACAAGGAAGCTATTGGCCACCGGCTGCAGAGTTGCACTGGAGCTACGAATAGGTCATTTGCACGATGGCATCATTTTACTACTACGACCAGAATCCTTTTCATTTTTCCTTTCACATCTTAATTTTGTAATCCCAGTGAGGTTTAAATAACAGAAGCCTTAATTTACACAAGAAAGTAAAACCCTCAAGGCTCTGGTCCTAGTAGGAAAATGATGTCATAGCGCAAGTGGCTTATTAATGCCAAAAAATTATTGTTCCAAGACAGCAGATTTTCTTCTTGCCAAGGTACCTTGCAACTTCAATGAGGTTGTTGTTCATGGCAATTTTTTCTTTCAATTTCCATGACTCCACCTCGCCTGTTTCATAAGTTAAATCTTGAAGAAGCACAATGGTAAAATAGCTACTGTTATTAACTCTTGAAAATTGACTTATTGATTTTGTTGTAGCAATAGTTTTCTTAACTTTTGTGACTGACTAACATTTATCTTCTCCACGCAATATCCATACATAATCAAGAGAAGAGGTTAGGAGAATTTTTAATTAATCGATCACCAAAGGACCGATGCCCTGATCGTTTATCAAATTTTCTTAACTAATTCCTTAAGGAAATTTATTGAGATCGGTCTGACCTGATACAAGGCAGGCTTCTTCGAGCCCAGGGAGACTTCTAAATGAAAGCGACGGCATTCGCATCGGAAAATACATGTAGACCCCCTAAAGAGAATGACTGTGAAGATGACTACCGCACAGGTTGTCGAAACGTCAGTCACTGTCAACAACAACAGTCCTATTCAGGACTACGTTCACCCGGACAATCAAACTCAACCTACTTTTGAAATGACTCCTGGGTTCAAACCTTTCACAATGTATAAAACCTTGCTCCCAAATAAGAGTTATACTAACTGTGCTAAAGATGTGAAAATCGGATACTGAACTCATGCAACACAGTATTACAGCACTTGGCTCTTTCTTTGTACTCAATCCTAAGAGATACTTGTATGGGTAAAAATTATTTGGCTTCCTGTCTGAACACCATACGTTACACTAAAATCGTCTTTTATACGGGAGTAATGACCCCCCCACCCCGGCACCCCCTTCGGCAACGTTTTCAAAGAGTAATGACTGTAAGATACGACTATCAGACGAGAAAACAGCAAGAGGAGAAAGGTCACTCAGCCCGGTTAATCACCAAAGAACCAGTAAATGGGATCATGTTAGCTTCTTTATACCTAAATTGTTGTGATTTACAGTGCAAGACGTGTTTAAGGGGTTAAAATATGTCCTCTGCAAAACACCAAATTATCATTGGAGATGTTCGGTGCTTTTTTCCTAGCAGATGTTTCTTGTAAGAACAATTATTGTTTATTGATTAAAAACATTAACACTTCCGTGTTAGAGTTTGTTTTCCTAGTTTCACTATTTACGATAACGAAAAGAACAGAATAGTCCTTTGGTGGGCTGTATTTACGAAATCTTCTTGGGTTATAGCATATTTCCGTTAAAAATGTTGCTTATTTCGGTGCCAACGGTAAACCTATACTCTGTTTCAGCTGTCTGTTTGATGTTATACGTTGCGGTGTATACACTGTATACGATACAGTGTTCGCATGTTGTGAGTTATGTTGATTACCTCAAAGACACGCTTTTTATTAGAACTGGTAATAACCAAAGGTTACGGAATGTGGGCAACAACGATCGAAAGTCGAAACGCTTTTGCTCCAACGCTGTGCTTTGCGTAAGTTTCAAGTTACAGATGGTCAAAAAACGCGTGATCAGATTACGAGTATTTGAAGGTCCAAACGCGCGTGATCAAATTACGTTCTATACATTCCATTCATTCTTAGTGGAAGTCCAAACGAAAGCTGGCTAAATACTTGCGACGCATGCGTAATAACGACCTGGGGATTAGGATTTCGGGCTCCTCTTGGCGTTAACAAAAATTAATAAATCAGAACATAAGCGCCAAACTGAGCGTCTGGAACTCACGACAAGCCAATTCATCCCGTGGATCAACTTAGGAGAACTAAGATAAAGAGTCACTAGAAAGACCCAGTAGACTCTTTCATGGTTTCGTCAAGTTTTGTTTAAGACCAGCTAGCGAATATATATTGACACTGCTGGAAAGATCGCCTTAAGATTAGGAAACTTACAAAATTTAAAGGTGATACGTTAAAAGCGAGCGAAATGAAATTTTTCAGACGTTTGTGTGGTGGGGACATAAATTTACCCCAGCAAAACAAACGTCTGTAAAATTATGCGACTTTGCATATCTATACTCTTCGTTAGATGTTAACAAATCATGTTCAAATTTGACGTTTTTGATATAGAGCGTATTCACTCACGTGGCCAGCATCCATGCAAATTTATGGGAACAAAAGAAATTTTTTACAAAAGATAAGAGTCCATCTCTCACAGGATTTGTTTGGAATACCAATATGGCCGTCGTTACATTGTTTTGGAACACATGGCCGCCCTGACGTCATGTGAATATTCGCTAACTGGTCCCAGTTCCTTTGAAGGGTGGTCCCGCGATCGAGCAAAATCAAGCAAAGTTATAAACGAAAATGAAATGACCGGCTGGGGGAAGAGTTTGTACCAGCCGGGCCTGATGCATGTGATCACAGAAATCCGCTACACTACTCTTGTGACCCCAGTAACTGATAAACCCATGCTATGATCGATGACCTCCTCAATATTGTGTCTTTCGCGGCATTTTTGTTGGACGCGAGCTTTTTATTTGTCATGTAGTGTGATAGAAGTGATTTTTTTAACTGGCAATTTTAATCAAAAGTTTTCCTCAATTTGCTGTGCTTTTCGAATAAATGATGATGTTTGTCTACCTAAAAGTTTTTAAAGTTTCTATTCTAGCTTTTTCGCACTTTTAACTTTAGTCGTGGCGAGCGGGTGCGAACTGGCAGGCTATTGTAGTCTTCCCATATTCATAAGTTTTGTCAAACTCATAGTGGTGATCAACATCACTGAGCAATCAAATGTTAGGAGTCAAAATGGTTGGTGTGCTAGCAATTCTTTAACACTAGTTTTCCTTAACTTTCCTCGCTTTTATTGTCTACCGAGAAGTTTGGAAAGTTTGTAATCTATGTTTCTTTCCCGGTACTTTTAAATTTATTCAGGGGCTAGCTTGGGATAATTCACACGGCAATAGTCCTTTTTCCAAAACACCATAATACTCTTTGTTGTCCCTCCAAAATTTTGCATTAACATTGCCTTCAATCTCTCTTGGGGCGAAAGACCTATTGTCTACTCATTCACTAGCCAGTTTTGTCATCGATTTGTCAAGTAATATATCAAACATGAGATGCAGTGTTTCATGTTTTAATCAAGTCGGCATTTTTTTTCTGAATGCGTCTAATTCAAGCGTTAGTCTAATTTTTCATTGATGAACTGAGTGCTGTTTTTCTCAATGTATTGTCAAGTTCCATGCTTATCCACTAGTACTGTTTTCAACGTTATGTAATTGAGCGAGTCGGCAAACTTTTCTCTTTGAATGTTAGGAATCTTTGCTTTGATTGCCCATTGTTGAACATAGAGTGCGTGCTTTTCTCACGTATAGTTTCAAGCCGAAAGATTTGTCAAAAACATTTCTCGTACTGGTTTGAATTTTAATCGAGCGACCGTATAAATGGAGACACCAATTTAAGTTGATTTAACCGTGTTTAAAGCCAGAAACCTGCGTACCCGTTTCATTGCCTGCGGTGAAGTGAAGACCAAACTCAGTTAGGCGATCTCTGGTCTGGAATGAAAGTCAAGATTCTCTTTTGCCTCCTCGAGAACAGCAGGTTTGCTCTTAGTTGAACTTTAACTTTTGGTTACGTTATAGTTTACTTTTTTTTCTGAACAAAAAAATTCTAAGTCGATTGAAAGAAACGGTGATAAGCGTCCAAATTGCTTTAACGGTTGTTACTGGTAATTTTTGCTGCAGAAAGAAATTATTCTTTTAGACTTAACATAACTGATTTTCTGTCATATTTCTTTCCTCTTTGTGTTATTGTCGCCCGAAGGTACCTGTGAACATGCATGGTCCCTTTTTTATGTTATCTCGGTGAATGTTGAACTGGAGGGACAAACATGTAATAATGGTTTACGTGCAGCCAATAAGATTAACCGTGACCTTAATGAGTAATGTACGATTTGAACGTAAATTATGCGTTTATGCCAACAAACCAACTGTTGGCAATTTGGGCGTAGAGTGCTATTCTTGCACCGGGAGAGAAATACAATACTACCCAGGATGGTTCAGGCTGACATAAGATAATAGTCGACAAAGGGATAAGACAGGTGTGAATAATACTGAAGGTAACGAAAAACCAGTTAAACAAGAAAATAAGGTTAATTCAGAGTGCAATTCTTAACACGTTTGTACCGCGGTAGTATTTACAATAACAAATAACACTTTCCATTTTTTTAACAGGTACTGCCTGACCATAAAGAAACGCAGAACAATTTGTCTTGCAAGAAAGTCTTAAAAATATCAATAAATGTCCTGCCACGGTCCTTAACAAGGATATGCAGCCAACTCATTTGTGTGTCTGTCATTTATTCAGTATATACCAAACCTATGGTAAGTTCATTTTTTGCACAGCCAAGTAGGGTAGTCGGGTCTTCATGCAATTTTCCATTGTTTTAAACAGGTTATTATTTTAGATAAATTTTAAGAACAAGTCATTGAGGTGGAACAGAAGATCATTATAAGAAATAATAACCTACTGTTTCAATTCAGTGACCATAATAATAACCTACTAGTTCTGAAACTGTGGAAAACTACGCGCTCGGTTGATTTTTTTTAATAAGGTCTCGCGGGTCAGCGATTAAGCTGTATTCTTTTCATGTTGCATCTTTCTTTCCAATAATTTTGATGTTAGTTTTTTGGTCTCTCTGACAATTCTGGTTTGGTATATACACCAAGACAAGTGCATGTTGTATTTAGTTATAAATTCAACCTCTTCAGGCCTCACAAAGAAAATATCAGAATTTAAAAGAAGTTTACGCTTTTGAATTCAGTAAAGAAAGTTAGGTTTTGAACACAAAACAAAACCTTACCCAGAGCTAAATTCCTCAGCGTAAACCAACAACAAAAAATAATCCAAGATTTATTGCAACTAAAAAGTAGGCAAAAGACCAACTATCCAAAAGAACACAACAAAGAAAAAAAGGTAAGTCAAAAAAGGTAAGTAACAAGGTAAGTTCATTTATATTGTTTTTTATTGAGCCCTGGGGACTAAGTGCTCCGCCCAAGGGGGGAGAGCCCTGGGGACTAAGTGCTCCGCCCAAGGGGGGAGAGCCCTGGGGACTAAGTGCTCCGCCCAAGGGGGGAGAGCCCTGGGGACTAAGTGCTCCGCCCAAGGGGGGAGAGCCCTGGGGACTAAGTGCTCCGCCCAAGGGGGGAGAGCCCTGGGGACTAAGTGCTCCGCCCAAGGGGGGAGAGCCCTGGGGACTAAGTGCTCCGCCCAAGGGGGGAGAGCCCTGGGGACTAAGTGCTCCGCCCAAGGGGGGAGAGCCCTGGGGACTAAGTGCTCCGCCCAAGGGGGGAGAGCCCTGGGGACTAAGTGCTCCGCCCAAGGGGGGAGAGCCCTGGGGACTAAGTGCTCCGCCCAAGGGGGGAGAGCCCTGGGGACTAAGTGCTCCGCCCAAGGGGGGAGAGCCCTGGGGACTAAGTGCTCCGCCCAAGGGGGGAGAGCCCTGGGGACTAAGTGCTCCGCCCAAGGGGGGAGAGCCCTGGGGACTAAGTGCTCCGCCCAAGGGGGGAGAGCCCTGGGGACTAAGTGCTCCGCCCAAGGGGGGAGAGCCCTGGGGACTAAGTGCTCCGCCCAAGGGGGGAGAGCCCTGGGGACTAAGTGCTCCGCCCAAGGGGGGAGAGCCCTGGGGACTAAGTGCTCCGCCCAAGGGGGGAGAGCCCTGGGGACTAAGTGCTCCGCCCAAGGGGGGAGAGCCCTGGGGACTAAGTGCTCCGCCCAAGGGGGGAGAGCCCTGGGGACTAAGTGCTCCGCCCAAGGGGGGAGAGCCCTGGGGACTAAGTGCTCCGCCCAAGGGGGGAGAGCCCTGGGGACTAAGTGCTCCGCCCAAGGGGGGAGAGCCCTGGGGACTAAGTGCTCCGCCCAAGGGGGGAGAGCCCTGGGGACTAAGTGCTCCGCCCAAGGGGGGAGAGCCCTGGGGACTAAGTGCTCCGCCCAAGGGGGGAGAGCCCTGGGGACTAAGTGCTCCGCCCAAGGGGGGACTGATACAGGACTGATACACTCCTGGGGAGGACTCCGAGAATCTTAGGTTTACTATAGGAGCTGCCCCTGGGTTTCCGAGGATGAAATATAATGGGAGTAATTTCTATACGGATATGGTATCAGTCTCTTAGCTTTGTTCGCTTGATTTGTTATTCTTGCGATATTTGCCAGTCAGTGTCTGGTGAAATTTGTTGTGATACTATTTTTTTTTCTGCTAAAATAGCGATTTGGTGAGAAGTTTCTGCTAGAGCTTGCAGTGCTAGATATGTTGAGTTTTTATTCATTTAATCTTTCGTCTTTCCGTATGGTTGTATTTGCACGCAATTTTTCAGGCGCAGGGTGAGGTTTTGGGTGACCCTGCTGGCCTCACCCTGGAGATTTTCAACTTTCCGATGATAAAAGTGACAATTTTCGACAAACTGCCTGCGGGTGGGGGGGGTGGGGATTTGCCCCTTTTGTGAGGAGCGTTGCGTGACGTTCGTGACGAGACAATGGAGAGAGCTCTCGAGTGGCGGATTGGAAACGAAAATAAAAGTTGACAGAAGGAGAAATGCAAGATGGCGGCTGGAGTTCGACCTTGTTCAGGTCATTCGCATGCTCATCCACACAATCATACAATGCCGAGAAGAAAAGTCACAGTATCTTTCACCATGAGGGACGAACAAGAACCTCTTCACCGATCAGGAGTGAATGCACTTCAGTTAGACAAAAAAACAGGGCGTTTGTATTCGGCGGGTCGTGATTCTATAATTCGATGTTGGAACACAAATGCAGAGCAAAAGGTATTATGGAATTTCTCTTAGTTTTATGTCAACAAGAAGAAACAATTATCATTATTATTACTAAATTTTGCAAAGGAGGCCATTCTTTTCCAAATATTTTTCGCTGATTTGAAGTTATGTTTAAATATTCAAATCTTTGGTAAGCTTACATACTATACTTCTTGCCATTAAAGAAAGCATTATTTTAGTCGATATGTCTACAGTTCACAGCACTCTTTCAGTTTAATGTTCTGATATAAGCCTTTAACGCCTTTAATGGGGTCGTTTAGGCTTGTTACTACAGACTATTCCAAGAATTTAGCTTTTAGCTTCTGCGCTATATTACCGTTTCCATCAGTTGTAAACTTACGTACAGCTAAGAATACAAGACTTTTGCGAGATGAAATGTTTCTTTTCTCCCTGTAGAACTGTTATATGGCATCTATGGAGCACCACACGGACTGGGTGAATGATATAGTTCTTTGCTGCAGCGGTAGAATAAGTAAGAAAATTAAATAGTAGTTGTATTTGATTGCTATTAGAAACTGTCTAAACCATGTAATACTAAAACAATGATATACTTGATTAAAACCTATTATTGTAAACTACCGTATTTATTCGATTAACCGCCCTGGGCGCTTATTAAATTTTTGGACCTTGAGAGTGGGCGGTTATTCGAGGTGGGTGAATATTCGAGGCTGGGCGCTTATTAAATTTTCACCATTTTCAGCAAGTGAAGTATGTTTATTTTGCAACAAAACAATAAATGCTAATAACAAAACACAAAGAGGTAACAAAGCAAGGTTTCTGTAAATACTCTGAAGAAAACTCTGTCCTCGGGAAAGTCTCTTATTAGAATTTATTCACTTAAGTGGGTGGGGTGGGGGTGAGCGCTTATTTGAGTTTGACTGGGAGGAGGAGGGGGCGGGGGCTTATTCGAGGCTGGGCGCTTATTAACTTTTTCTGCCTTTAGGATGGGCGCTTATTTGAGGTGGGCACTAATTCAAGGTTGGGCGCTTATTCGAATAAATATGGTAATTAATATCTTTTCAAAAAAAATCAACGGAATCAATGAGATACATTAGTGTTATGTCAAAAAGTCAACCTAAATGAAAACTACTGCAAAATACATGCTTGAAATGCCACATTACTGCCACAAAGTCTAAGATTACTCAATACGGTGGAACCTTCATATAACATACCTCTATATAACAAAGTCCTCGGTATAATGAATGATTTTCTTTGCCCCAGTAATAGTAGGCTATATGGAAAAGATTCTTAATATAATGAATCGAAACCTTGTTATTGCAAACAAATTTTGCCAGTCCCTTGGCCGTTATTAATCACAACGAGGTTTCACTGTACATGAAAAAAAGGCCAAGAACGTAATGCTGCCAACACACTATCCTGCTCATGCAAAATCAATGTCCAGATTGACCGTCATGATCTATATTTGTACACATTTGTACCCTCAGTATTGTCAGCATCGTCTGATACAACGGTCAAAGTCTGGGACTCAGCACGTAGCTTCTGCATGTCGACACTCCGCACCCATAAGGACTATGTAAAGTCACTGGCTTATGCCAGTAGCAGGGAAATGGTAGCTTCTGGTGGATTGGACAGACAAATTTTCCTTTGGGATGTCAACACTTTAACAGCTCTTACAGCCACAAATAACACAGTCACAAGTAAGTTGCATTTTTTTATTTAATTTTTTCCCAGAATGATAAAATGATTAATATTTGGGTTTGTTTTGCTTTTATTTGAATTGAAGTAGTATGAGATTGAATAAGAGACTCGTACACTGAGACACTCCTGTATTTAGAGGGGGTGACTGAAGTGATTTACTTACAGTGAACCCCAGATCGATCATATCATTCAAAAGTACATGTATGCCTATTGGTACACCTTGAGGAATGACCTCATATTGTCTCTGAATTTAACCTGCTTCTGTGCAATATGGATACCTGTTTATGTGGGCAGTTGACACTTTTTTTTTTAGTCCAGTCACTGAGTTTTGATAGAAAATTTGGTTTTGCTAAATACATTGTGCACATCCATATGAAAATGTTTGTTCTATTATGCTTTACTTCTTTAGAGGCAAATAACTTTTTGTATGCCAGCGTATGGATGTTCACAGCCCAAATCAGGCCAAAGCCACAAAGTCTTTCAGACATTAATAAGTGCAGAATATTAATTTTCATGATAATTGACAACAAATACCAGTACACTTTATAATCTGCCAACTGTATAGCTTAAATAAATTATGTGTGTTAAGGCAACTTTGTCATGTTCTCATAGACTTATGCCATGAAGCAATGACTATTTTACTTTGATTTACAAGAAGAGTCACACGCACATGTAATTTGTTGATGCTGATCTATCTATATTCTTAAACTAATAATTATTTTCAGAACTTACTGTCTTCTCCTTAGTCTTAGATGTATTTTAATACATTTTAATACTATTATTAATATTTTAATACATTTTAACATACTAGTTAAAACTAGTCAGTGGTCATAAAAACAGGGCAGTCATAATTACGAGGATGTAGAAACATAAGGGAATCACTGACTTTTGTTTTGACCAGATATGAAGATAATACATGTACATACATGTACAGGGTATGTGTTCTCTATGACTGAAGCTTATGCACCAATGTCATGTGGAAAATACCATAAACAATCTAATTTTGTTCTTGAGTAAAAAACGTTTATTTATTGTTCTTTATAGATGTTATACAATCTAGTTACATGCAATATAAGATGGTATCATTTTTACCAATATATTAATCAGTGAATGGTTTATTGTTACCACAGCTTCCTCATTAAATGGGCAAAAAGACTCAATCTACAGTTTGGGATTGAACAGCATGGGTACTGTGCTTATTTCCGGATCAACTGAAAAGGTATAAAATCCCTTACTTAAAATGTCTATATGTGAATGCGTTTGAGAATTTTAAAATGTGGAAGAAACAAAACGGTGGCATTTCACTTATCTTCTAACCACTATTTGACATCTTCTTTGAGCTATAACTGCCCACTCGCAGGCACATGGCAAAATGGAATCTATTTGTTTTATCCAATGACAAAAAACTTTCAAGAGACACCGCATTCTTGTCATACTTGCCCATTTTTGAATGGTCAGTTTCATTTTTTTCTCTATAGCGTACACCATAAGTTGTTCTTTGAGTAAATTGCCATGTTTATTTTGTAGAGAAACTGATTGATGAAGAATACTAATTCCTCAGAATAATGATGTTATTGTTGCAATCACAGTCCTTGCATTACTTACAGTACATGTATCATTGTGTTCTACAGATTTTGAGGGTGTGGGATCCTAGGACGTGTTCAAAAGTGATGAAATTAAAAGGCCACACAGACAACGTTAAATCTATTATAATCAATGCTGAGGGTACCCAGGTAATTTAGCAAAATGACTTGGAG